AGTTTTCTACTGTGGGGCACCCGCACTAACCAAAGAGCTAAGACAATTAGCTTTGGACTTTTCTCACAAGACCTCCACAAAGTTCGAATTTCATAAAGAGAACTTTTAACAGAAGCACGTCTCAGGCTTTTTCAAGTTCAATGATTTCTGAAGTTTTATATACGGGGAAAAATACTTTCAGATACATTCTAATTGAATGGTTCTTAAGTGGATATAGCTTTGTTAAATTTCTTTGGTTCATTTTTTCCTTGTTTTTAAAATACTTCCAAATACACAGGCTTCTGTAGAACCACGAGAATTGTAACAAGTTTTACTATTACGTTGAAGTTTTACCACTAGCTAAATTGTATCTATATTAATTTTTTAATATTTGAAATTGTCATAATTTGAAATAAATTATGATAAGAATTTCTTCTTGGGAAAGTGGAGGGGGACAAGAAAAATAAAGCCTTTGACTATACTTACTTGCCAACAACTTTTTTTCGGAGAATCGATCGATGACTTTCTACATTGGCTGCCACCTAATTAGCATTTAGCTCGGGTGGAACAATCCATATTGGTTTCCAGCTATCTGTACCATACTTTATTGTGCAATTTTCAAGTATCGACAATTTTCTAAAACGAATCTGAGAAAATATAAATTGGATGGGAAGGCAAAATTCAATAAGATAGACGACTAAGTATAAGGTGGCTATGACATTTCTTTTTTGTCACTTTTTTGGTGCACCAAAACCTAAAAGTGCCCACAAATCCATTATAGATGGAATGCGGGACCGCTACGTTGGGAGGGTCAAATAGCGGAGTCACTTTAGATTTTAATTGAAATGACACAGAATATTTTACATTATATTCCATTCCAAAAGGGTTAATCTACCCCAACAACAAATGCGAAAGGGCCAAGGAGAAAAACCCCCAGGCTCCAAGCCAGGTGGATGGTCTTTAGAATGACTCGTCCTGGAGTAGAAGATGGACCTTGATTGGCCAGTAAGTAAAATATTGCATTTGTTTAAGGTGCGTTCGATTGGCATTCTTAGCTATTATTAATCATGGCCTGAAACATGCAGCTATGAGATAAACACCCCATGGCAAGAGGTTTCATTGAAAACCCTTCACCAAGACACTGTTAGGCAAAAAGCCTAAGATCCAATTGAAATGTTATCTCAGGAGAAGTATAATTAAATAATTAATTATATAAAAAATAATGATTTAAGGTGATTTAATCCAATTAATTTATATTCATGGATTAGAAAAAAATTTATTAATTATAAAGAATTATAAACATACAACTTATATCAATCAATACTCAATAATCAATACTCATATATCCTTTCAATCTCTTCAATTCTATAAAGTATTCTCAATTTAAATAAATACAAATTAATCTAGTTCTATGAAATATTATCAACTCAAATAAACACAAACCGATATATACTCATACATTCATATCTATGTAAATTTTTTCAATGTCCTTTAATTTATTCACATACATTTACACCACCATACTTATATAAATCATCTCATTTTCTTCTAACATGCATATATAAGAATATTAATTTCTTCAAGTCCACTAAAATATATACACTCATAAAAAATATTAATCTCTTGTAATTCTATGAGATGTTTATCTTATAAAATTTTATAATTTTTTTATATTTTTTTTTCATACTTAATTTAATAGACTGTATATTTATAATCATACAAATTTACTTATAAAATTTTTTTTTCTCTTATAATTCATCTTCTAATATGTACTAGATATTAGAATCAAGTTTAAGCACTGTTACATCGTGGAACTGAAATTTCTTGGATGAAACCTTTCATTTAGGCCCCAAAATTAAGCAATCAAAAATCTATTTGGAACATCTATATATATTAATATATATATTTCCTTGTCCATTGTAACTCGGATGAACCCTCCTTGTGAAGGCACTCAGCTTAATCGACATGGGATCTGTATTAATATTTCCTTAGAAAAGTTAACATCCCCCGACTGATCTGACCAACTATTGTGCCAGAAAAACCGCACAAAAGAGAAAAGAGAACGACGTCATCAGTTTGTTTCTAGTTGAATTATAGTGCCTTATCCAAGTCCCTATATTGGCCAAAAAAAAAAGATAATAAAGTCCTCAACTAACATGTTGGATAAAAAGGACATTTCTTCTATGGCAAGTCTCAATATTGTCTCAAGCGAGTCTCTAGAATCCTAATAATACATGTACAATGCACTTGAAGCATTTTTCAACACGCATATTGTTGAGGAACATATAAAAAAATCCACTCCAACCACTTGCATGTGAATTATTTAATCAGTTTCTGCTACAAATAATGGACCTTTCTGATTGTTTTCGAGCAATAAGTCATAAGTCAAAAAGCGTTTCATAAAAGCCACCGATCTAGAACTAGCTATCCATTCCAATATTTTGACTTGAGGCGGCAATTCAATCCGTTCTCGACGTATTTTCATTCGATTTGATTTTATGAGATCGATTTTTTTTTTGAAATTTAGATTTTAAATTGAATCAGATAAGATTAGAAAATAATCGGATTCAGAATTTAAGTGAATTTGATCCGATTCGATTCGATCCGATATTATATAAAAAATTATTTTTAATTAATTTTTTAATTTTTAATTTATATATATTTTTATATAATGATATTTTAAAATATTTATATTTAAAAAATAATATTTTATTAATTTCGAGTTTGATCGAGTACGATTTATATAATATCGGATCAGGTCAGATTCGGATATAAAAAAATAAAAAAAATTTTGAATAAAATCGAATTCGAATTTATTAAAACAATAAATCAAATCAAATTAAGAACGAAAAAAACTCGCCTCAAATCCGACCTGATGTCAACCTTAATTTTTACCATACGTTTTTTTCGTATTTCATACTTCTACATATTTTCCCCCACTGCCGTGATGTTTTTGCATGATTCATGCACGCAAACGAAATGGGTCAGTGATGGCCCCTATTCCTTCCTTTGCCTTTGAACTCTAATATCATGTTTGGTTGGTGGAATAGCTATTCTATTCCCCTCGTATTCCTTGCTCAACAGTGTATAATCGGATTGGCAAAATTACCATTCCATTTCTCTCTGATTCTTCATTGTCCCGCAATAACTATTCTTAGATGGGACCCAAGAATATTATTGCGACCAAATAGGATCATTTTTTTCATAATATTTCTCTTAATTATTGTTACCCTGTCATCTAAGCTTGCGTTAGTTAATTGTATCATAAGCCTCTTGTCCGAGAATACGTTGTCCGCGTTTAAGAAATTATACTCAAAATCTCTAGGGTTCCGATTTTTCAGTTAGTCAAAGACAAAAAAAAAAGTTTGAAAAAACGTGCACATGATTGATTACGTAAATGCAAAGAAATTTCTATGTTCTTGTTTGACATATTGGATTTGATGCAAGCCAAAAAAAGTCAACCGCTGACCTGGTCAAGCCATGACACACGGAGATTCTCTAGCGTACCAAATCACAACTGAATTTGCTCAGTCGATGTCAAGTCGACACACCTAAGTTTGGGTCACACTAGCCAAGATTTGAAGACTTTAACCAATGTTGAAAGTTTCCCGAATCCTCTTCTCGAACAATAATGTGGCTAAATCTTCTGTTGGAGTTGGGGACCCTATTTTCTTCTTGAACTCATGATCTGTGACCCCTTCATCCTGTAGCTGGGTTTCATGCTTTCTTTGAATTTAAAAAGAATATTATTAGAATTCCAAGCCTGATTCTATAAACTCATCAATGCTCTTGCTGTAAAACGCTCCCTTGTGTTTTTTTTTTTTTTTAATAACTCAGGTCATTGTTACATGCACTCAATCCCTATATTTATTTCACATACTCGTTTTTTGTTTTATAAATTTAATTGAAAAATACTCAAATTTTAATGAATTATAATAAAAATTTAAAATTTTATATATCATATGAATGCATGAAATAAATTTAATAAAAATGAGTGTATATAATCTTTTCTTAATCATAATATTAGTTAACTCATAAATAAATTAATACACACTATATAATTTTTTTATTGATAATATTAGTTAACTCATAAATAAATACACACTAGGAAACAGATGTAGAATCCATGAAGACTACCCAAGAGGCATTTAAACCCACCTACTCAATTGGTGCTGTACTTTCCCACTTCCTGCTTGGTGTTAGCGTTTATGGAGGGGCTGGCAGGGGCCACGGCCTTCTCCAAAATTTGTTTACATCATTACAGCACAATATCTCATCCTATTAAAAGTAATGTTTGACAACCCCCCCCCTTTTTTTTTATAAAATTACTCTTTGACCTCATATTCTTGACTTCATCTGTGTTTATGCCTGCGAATCATGAACATCACAAACGAATATCTCGAAATGTCATAAGCTGATTTCATCTGATTTGGCTTACTGCCTTTTTTTCTCAACATTATAATCACTTAATTACCCACTGAGATTAGCTGAATAATGTTTCTCTCTGTTAAATTTCTAACAGGTTTTGGAATCCAACTTTTATGTTGTCATTCCCATTGAGAGTTTCAGCGAGGATTAAGCTCCTGAGAGGAGGGGGATCAGTTACCTGAGCACACAGGAATAAAAAACCTGCTATATACGAATCAGCAAATAGCAATTTCGAGTTGATTTTCTCATCAGAAATTGATACTTGATCAACTAGAATGGGACTGTGTCACCAGATTATTTCATATTGTAAGCTTCAGACATACTCTCTTCTTTCACTTCATTACTTCAATTATCGGTAGCTACCTATCATGCCAGGTTCCCGTGTGGTGTTAGGTTTTGACATAGCAATTTAAGTTCTGATTTGGTAGCTTTCTTGTAGGCATCACATGCTTACTTTCTCTTTAATAGATATAGAAGGGTCTGCCGGTTCAAAAAAAAAAAAAAGGGTAGGCCGGTGGCAAGGTACATCATCAGGGGAATGACAGAAAATAATCCCCTTTAAGCAGCAACAAGATGAATGGTTATCCTACTCGTGCATCAATTTCAGCCCGTTAGTGAAAAGGTCATGTCACTGCTTGCTATGTCCACCTCATAATCGGTTCCATAAAAAATATATATAACTTATTACATTATAAGGTGACGACAGGTAGCTCAACTGGCTGGCGGTGCAAGGGAAACAGGCTCCGGAGCAACCTCAGGTCTAGAGTGCCCATTGCCAACGCATTGGAGTTTATCATCAAATCCCCACAAATTGGCAGACTTGATATCATCCTGGATCATTTGCTTGGAGAATTCTTCATGGTTGTACTCCAATATGGCCTTTCCTCCAAATTCAGTCGGTAGATTTTCCTCATCAAAATATGATCTCATGAGCTCTACGCTGTCTTTGTTCTTAGGGTACACAAACTTTACCTTCTGGAAGGTTTTAGCATCCAGAAAATACTTAACAATCTGCAGAAACAAAAGCACAGCAAGCTGGTTAATCTTAATAGATCAAATCATGAGCATGAGCAGCAACTTACAATGCTAAAATGCACCAATGTAAGCTCATTAAGCTTTTGCAAAACTTGTACTTCACATTGTTTAACCATTATTAAAAATGATTAAGCATGGTACAAGTCTAGAGACATTCAGCACTCAGTTAAGAATCAGAATGTGATTACAGTGGGTAGAATTGAGACCTTCCAGAATGCTTCAAAAATTCTTGGGGGATTATAGAGAAATGCCATAGCCAGCCTCTCAGGGTAGTGGTTTTGTAATACATTAATAGTGTCGCGAGCTGACTTGATGGGCACACTTGTGCTTAATGTCCACCCAGTGAAGTCTATCAACCATGCCATCTGCTCTTGACCCTCTGGAAGGTTTAGGATAGCATTCTCTATCAGATACACCAAATGGTGAAGCTGATTGTCCAACGATGTGGTATTCTGTAACATTTTCGGCCATGTTAGTTTACAAACTTACAATAACTCAACGATTTTGATTTTGATTTAATTAAACCTATTACCTGCTTTCCTGGTCGCAGTATAAGAACAGTCCTACCATGTCGGTCATGAAAATTTGCTCTGGATACTTTTCCAGTCTCACCTTCTACTGCAACTTCATGCTGACAACAAAAGCGCCTAATGTGGTTAGGGAAAATAGATTCTCAACAACCTCATACTATTTATTACTATATATCAATTAATCACCATTAACTCTCTTTTTCTAAACATTACGAGGAAAAAAATCAGCTACTCGACTTATTAACTTACCCAACGTATTTCCTCAGGCTTATAGGTTGATCTCCATTCGAGTGTCTCATTCAGCATTTTCTTTGATTTGTCAACATTCCAGTTTCGTGCCTCCAAGTATCTCCTCAAGCAGGCATCAGTACAATATTTCGAACTGCGCTCAGATAGTGGTCCGATTGCAGCTCTAAGCTCCTTGGCCTGCTTGTATTCACATGTAAAAGCAAACATTAATGAAGAAGTAACCACAATCTAAAGACAGAATAAAACAAATTTGCAAATAAATATTAGGAGTTAAATCTTATATTTCCCAAGATAAGGAGCAGCAGAGGGAGATTTCAGTAGACAACACAAAAGTTTTGCCATAGTTAAACAAATTCACTAACTGCTCCAACTTTATTACCTTGGATTCATGCTGCAATGAATCATCCTCTTGGTTGTGATGAGAATTACTCCATCTACTAAACATTGTGACTAATACTAGAATCTGGCAATCTAGATTCTAGTCCAACCTGCATAACATTGCATAAGACTTGGGACTTATTATTCAGAGTTAATTGACTGAAATGGTTAGTAATCTGCCTTTAGACTAAACATGGATGTGAGAATCAAGAAACTAGCCCTGTACAGCTTAATCGTCAAAGAAATTGCATAGAAAATATGCTTTCAGTTCCTCTCACACCAAATATAACCAGACAATAAGATTCTATGAAGAACACAATAAAGCACCAAAATAGCACAAGAAATAAGAATTAAATCATGAGCTTCAGTTTAATACACAACCACAATTTTTTAAAAAAAGCAAACTTTACCAAAAGTCAACACTGTTCAAGTCTAGCCGCTAACAGAGCTGTGTCATATTGAATTACTGCTGCAGCGATGTCATTCATAGAACTGTGATAACATTGCTAAGATGGCTGGTACTAGAATCTAGATGCTACAAGGGAAAAATATGGGGAAAAAAAGATGGTACTGCAAGATATGATACCGTAGAAACACAGATGAGTCGAGTCCTGGGACATGCGCTTGAATCAGACCTGAGAAGCTCCACCTGGTTTCATTCATTTGATCAGATTAGTATTATCAAAGTTACCATCAATTTTCCATCATCAACTAGTCTTTTAATATGGGGTCAATTCCTCAACAGTTACATTCACATAAAGAGCAGTAACGGTAAAAATGGGTCACACGTTACAAGTTACATCAGTGGAAGAAGCATGATTCAACGACTGCTAATACTTTCCGATAAGTATGAGTAGAGAAAAAAAATTAGAGAAACGTCTGATGAATTCTGATCTCATAAATATCAACAGTCTTTTATGGAAAAACAAAAAAAAAAAATTCTTTATTCTACAATGATATTAATGAAGGAAAAAAAAAGATGCCTTTTACACCGGCCTAGTAAGAAAAAATAGAACTTTAGACTGTCCAGACCATTACTCCCTTTTAATTTCTCCTGTTTTGTTTTTTTTTTTTTTTTTTTGAGAAAAAGTATAGTATAAATTCAACTCGGATAACCCAGAAAACACCAGAAAAGCTTCTGCATTCTTCAAAATCACTACAAGAAGATATTCAAAAACTCAGTAAAAAACCCATTTTTACATACCAATATCAAAAGAGAAACAAAATGAAAGGTTGATGAATAAATAGAAAGAAAATTTTTTTTTAAAATGGATAGTCAAAGAAGCGGATGAAAACAGAGTTGCAGTCTTGCAGAGATGTTTCCAGGGTTTGACATCTTTAAAAAAAAAAAAAAAAAACTAACCTCTCCTTCACTCCTGCCTGTGAAAAGAAACAGAGCAAAGACTCTGCTCTTAGATGAAAAGGAAAAAGAAAAGGGTTGATTCTTTACCATAAAAGTGGCATGGAATTCTATAACATGACCAGGTAATCCAACAAAAAGATTGAAAGCGAAAAAGGAAAGAGTTCAAATGCCCGGATCTTGATTGGTAACCTTTTGGCTAATATGAGTCGGTATCCCTTGTTGGTTAGCTCCAGATATTATTCAAATTCAGCGCAACTCATACGGTACTTGTGGTTTGGCCAGTCTTTATGACTATAGGCCTTTTTTTTTTTTCTCGGACCAATGATATGACACAAGTTGTTGTCGTTTTGTGAGAAATTTCAGACCTAATTTTGCAGCAAAGAAACTCTCCTTTCTGATTCAGACAGACGGGAACCATATTTTTGAACAGAAGCAGGAAAGGTAATTAAAGTAATCTTTTTTTCTGTACTATGTTTGCTTCTTTTCAGTTTCGTTACAAGTTTCATTCATCGTGATGAATTTTAACTGTCCTTCAATGGAATAAACAGAGAACAGATCGGAGACTGAATCTACATTTTACCCCGTTAAGACATGTGCAACAACAAACGAATATTATTAGTGCTTTGCAGAGTCTTTAGAGTATAATATCAGAATAAAATCTTTTTGGCTAAATAAAATAGAATAACTTTCTTTCAATGAAAATTTAACTTTGAATTCCTTCCATTTTTTTCTTTTTTTTTTCTTAAGATTACTATCTCTTTCCACATAATAATAAGTAAATTTCTAAATATGAAATGCAATTTATTAAATTTCTTTACATGTCAAATTAAAAATTTTTTAATAAAAAAATCATAATCTAAAAATAAGAAAAAATTATAATTGTTAAAATTTAAATTTTAAAATTAAATATTATTGTTTAAAAATAATAATATAAATTAATTAAATTAAAAGTCTATTAAACAAATTAAATAAAATTTAATAATAAATTATCCATTTTTTTTTACTCTCATAAAAAGGAAATAGTATAATCTAATAAACCAAATGATTCATTTAATGACAATACTAATATATAAAGAAACATTTTACCAAACTTATATTATAAAAATCAATAAAAGCTAGTCGTAATATACTAACAAGCTTTTCTGTTTCCAAAAAAAAAAAAAAAAATTATAAAGAAAACAAGTCAACCATTATAAGGGACAAATTGAGAAAATAAAAACCAGGGGTGAAAGCGAAATGAGAATAGAACTCGCGGACTGTCGGCCACCGTAAGACTCATGCTCTCAGACATCAGCCATCCCGAAGTAGTGCTGGGCTGTCGGCAGCTGCTCCTATGCGAAGCACCCATAAATATGTGGCATGCCGCGACCCCTTTTCTCATCTCTATTTCTTTTGTCCTTTCTCATTGATTTTCCATGCCATTCTAGAAGTCCCTTGGTAGCCAAAATTCTGAAAGTCGTTGCAATCATTCATTTCTGTCCGATATCAAATGATAAGTGTAAGTATATCAGATAAATTCAAATTTTTAATTAATTTTGCAGTGGAATTTAGCTCATAGAAGTTATAAACCGTAAAAAAGAAAAAGAGAATAATATAAAACGGATGGGCCGAGAGTGCTTGGTGACCGGTGTGTGGACACGTCGAAAGAGAATTTAAAAAATGCGGAAAAGCCAAGGATTACCCACAATGAGATGAAGAAAATGAAAATCTTAAAAAACATAATCACAAAGTTAAGAACAGGACAAGAATGATAATATATATATATATATATATATATCAGATTCCACCGGAAGGTAGCACAAGTTATGCTATGATATGCGTTGGAAGCATAAATTTATTAGATTTACCACAGAAAACTATCCATGGTGCATGTTACCAATGAAATCTGCTGCCAATAACACTCGAAACAGTTGCTTCTCCAGATCCCCAAAGCCACACCAAAGTATTATTGCAGTCAGCTTGCTTGAATATCACCGTTGTCCATTGGGCTTCACATACATATCCTCCTGACCAGTGATCAATCATAGGTTAACAGGCAGAGCAACAAAAGTTTACAGCTAAAATCCATGCCTTATAACACACCGTTAGATCGCTATTAATTCGATCGAATTTAATGTGATGTCATATAATACCAACTCAATTAAAAAAATATTTAAAAAATCAAATAAATCATGATGTCAAATAACAATACAACAAAAGTACTTATTCCTTCGAATTTTTTATATATATTTTTTGAAAAAAATACTACTAAACTTAAAAATCTACTCACTTCTCTTTGAAAAATAAGCCAGACAAACTTTTTTCACAATTTTTTTTCCCTCTTCCACGCGGCATATATATATGTTTAAGTTAAAATAAATATAAAAAAATTACATTCACTAAAAAATCAATTAACAAATAAAACATAATTAACTAACCAAACCACAATAAAACTTTTAGTTCCCAAACAACTTCCTTGCAACTAAACAAAAACCTCATTGGCTTATCTGCACGGATATGTTGTTAACAATAATGACCATGAGAGTTAAAAAGTTCAAACGATCAAGGATTCAGCTAGTTTCGAACCACCAGCCTCCCAAACCTTAATGTTTGAGCGCCCTACCAATTTTGTGCTAACGGATCCGCATCACATGCACGGTTCTATTTCCATCAGGACGGTCTAGCCCAAAACTTGAGCCCAAAAGAGCTATAAGGCCCAAAGGATTCGGATTCACCAGCGTACATCCAAACTTTGCAGCCTCTTCATCCCTCGCATCAGGCCTACACCAAATTTTTTGGAAGAGAAGATGAACATCTTTCAAAACTTCTTATAACTCCACAAACGGGTTTAATCCTGCCACGTGTCAACTAACTTATTTTAGGTACTCAATCGCACTCATTTCGTTGCAATTAGATGAAGATGGACCACAACAACAGTACCCGCCTACCTGTAATTTCAACATTCCGCAAGGAAATATATAAATTAATCCTTTCTTCTTACTCTGTTTTTCACCCTTATCACCGCTTTATCATAACCAACAAAAACAACAATAGGTTCAAGGAAAACGAATGAAAACTCACAAGTTAAATAAACCAGTAAGAACAAATGCAGCAAGGAATTAAAAGCTAAAATCAAAGACGGCTAAAAAAGGGGGGGGGGGGGGGGGGCGGAATGGATAACACAACCCAAAGAACTACTAAACTAATAACTCAAAAGATTACCACTCGTGGTACAGGAGCTAAAAACTTTCAAGAAAAAAACAGTTATACCTCTATTAAAAGAAACAGAAATACAGTATCAAATAATGGTCAGAAACTTAGGTGATTATCTTTAACTTGCCAATTGTCATGGCTGATCACAGTGATATCTAGGAGTAACTTTTGTTACATTATCGGACTAACACAGGGACAGATGCGCTTCCTTCTGAAGCAATCCTAATATATTCTCGGCAATGTCATGATAAGTCCCTGCGATGATTGCGCAAAACGTAGCATTTTAACTGAAACACACGCAGAAACAGACTTTAGTTCTAAAGCTAAATAAGACTATCAACAGAAACACTTTTTTCTAATTTTCTTCAGGTTTACTGGTTCAGTGCCTTTATATGCATGTAGAGTTGTAGACTGGGTAGCGAAAAGACAGACAGTCACCATATAGAAGTATTTGAACCAAGATTTCTTTGCCGGCAAATGCTCCTGAATAGGGTGCTCCATGACCAACTAAAGCTTTCTAAAGGAGGGAATTCCAAAAGAGTCCAGCATATAGTCCTGCAAGGCAAATTCAACGAGTTAATGCACCATGCCATCAAATAGAAAAGACAAAAACTAATTTCCATGCAAGAAAGATCCAAAAATTTGCTCACCTTCCTCGGAGTATTAGAAAATATGAGACTCCAAAAAAACTTTTAAGCTGCTTCACCATCAATACACAGTTGCTATAGATAACATCTTGATATCAACCTCAGATGGAAAGAATGTCATCACTTGGGTCAACGAAACACATGACTTATTTGGTGAATTAGTAGATAATTATACCAAAGAACCCAACCCTCCACACAAATTACAATACACCAATCAGCACTTGATACAAATTACAACAAATTCTCCAATAGAGGAATAAGATCCATGGGCCATTAATCAAATACCAGTTAAGCTCATATTGAATCAAAAAGCAGCAACCAAAGGCTGAGTAAAATCTATATCAAAATAATCAGTACCTTACCAATGGGTGTATAATTTTTGTTTTGGTACTGTGTGCTCCGATACCAGTGTGTTTCAACGTACCATTTCAAGTTTATCAGCATTATCTAGTATTTTGTCTATAAAATATATACACATACAAATACACCTCAATTACTGAATCTATATGTTTAAAAATTAGTAAATATTTAATATCTAAATTTTCAACCCTCGAATAAATGAAATAAATATAAAATATTATGAAAATATAGCAAGTTATTGTTCAATAGCTTACTTTAATGAACATATATATTTTTAAATGAAACCATGAAAATATAAAAATGATCACAAAAAATTAGGAATTGATTAAAAGAATAAAAAATGAAAATTTATAAAAAAATACAAGAAAAAATCTTGTACTACAAGAACCAAAATGGCCAGTACAGACTGGTTCAATACATAAACCTAGATGTAACAATACAGTACCAATAATTGATTTCATTTTATCAAATGGATGGGCATGTTCAAGTTATTTAACTTTTGATAACCAATCACACAAATAAGAGCACGTGACATATATAACAAGCTAGCAATGAGACTAAGAGAACTAAAAACAAACTTAGATTAAACCCAATTGTCATATGGAGAAATAAAATCAAATCAAAACCAGGCTTCAGAAGTTAGGGATAGTGTTGTTATAACAGAATTAACTAACATATAAGTGAAGAATTGAACCATTTAGGTTGAAACTGCAATGACAGAATACACCTTATTAGTTGCAATCACAATCATTGATGACCACATATTCTGTCAAGAATCAAATTCAGCTTCAGTCTATCAAATGGGCATGCTTTGATATGAAGTAGTGTTGCATGATTTGCGCAAAGCAATGAATCACAAATAGGCAATCAGAGATGCAGGAAAAAATTAAGCAAAAAGGCAATAGAGCCGAGACACACAGGGGGGAGAGCCGGGGAAAAAATGAATAAAATATCTCTCGTGCCATCTCCCCCCTAGAAAAACCAAAAAAAAATAAAAATTTATTAGGATTTTTGACCTGCCATGCAAGCGCACCTGTCATGGCAAAGGTCAGATAACACCAAAAACAATCACTCTGTTTCTTTTCCCTCACAATTTTTTCACCTCTCTTACGTCTTCTCAGCAACGATTTTTCACACCCTCGATTCTTTCAACTCATAGAGATGACTAGTTCATCATACTACAATTAAGAAGATCGATATAACAATGAATACCTCATCAATCTACAATAAGGAGATCGATATAACACAACAAAGTTAAATCACATAATAAATCAAAAGCTCACAAAATATCCAGTCCAATCTTTTGCAGCTTGTTCTTCCGACTAAACACCAGTTCACCGCCACAACCGTCGTTCAACTACAAAGCAGATCGCAGCATGCCACAATTTACAAAATTTGATCCATAAATCAATTGGACAATTTCAGATTCTTAAAACCGATCTGAAAGATGTTCCCAGATCTAAAAACACCAAAGGAACCAGAATAAGCAATTAAGGAACCAGAACATAGGAAAAGAAGATTAGCATTCAAGCTTAATACCTCAGATATAGATACAAAGGCAGATTTCCGAGGTCGACAAGAGGATAAATTAGCCCCTTCAGAGAGGAATTGAATTAAACTCGGCTAGATCAAAAAGAGCCTTCACAAACAAAGATAAGAGCAAAACTCTACCTTAGAACATCTATGAACCGAACAATCGAGACTAGCAATTAATAACAGAAAATTATTAATCGACTTACCTCGTTAGATCTCTGAGAAGAAATCGATTCTTACACTAGCGTGAGCGACGAACAAGTGACGAAGGGAAGTAATCACAAATTTCAGCAAAGCAGGGAAAAGCCATGATAAAAAAGCAAATTTCGTCAAACGATCTGAAGAATTCGACGGAATCGAGAGAGGCTACGACGACAGTTAAGCAGATACGAAGAACGTGGCTCGCAACAGCCCACAAGAGTTATAAATGGAGGTGCTAGATATTTTTGGAATAGAATTAGGATAATCCAACGGCTCTGACTATTTTGTGGTTAAAGAGATCAACGGTTGGACTTGAGCGATACTTTTTCCAAGCTATTTTGGGTTGCCTGTGGTGAAGGCAAGCGAGGCAAGAATGGCTCTAATTAGCCGAGTAGGTTCTAGATGCTAGGCCTAGATTGAGACCTTTCACTGCCACGTGTTCTCGGTCATGGATTTTATCAGCTTGGGCTGACAGCCCAGTGATTAGCTGTTTAGGATCAGGCCTAAAAGGAAAAGAAACTTGTGTTGGGTAACCATACTTCGAGCCCGCTGCCACTGCCAGGCACTTGTCACAATAACTAGTTTGGGCTTTCCCTGAGATTGGGCTTAACTATGTTAGATTTTAGATGTAATAGGCGGCCCAATTTTAATGATTGCTTTATCAAGCGCACAGACATATGGCAATGGCAAGCTTTTGTTTTGAAGGTAAGCTACAAAGAAAGCTAGTCCAGTTAGCGAGGAAAGAATTCAACCAAATCCTGGGATACAAATACCCCTTAACTGTATTACCAAAAATAAAATTAAACAAAATGGCAGTCATTTTACGATACATTCTACAAATTAAGTCCAAACCACAGGTTTGAAGAGTGAGACAACAAAATGACACAAGATTCCCTCTGCTACAGTAATTTTTCTATACTAAAATCATATGGTGACACATACTTGTCCAGTCGTAGGCAGCAGTTAGCTCAAGATAAAGACAAAAATAGAAAAATATACAAGGTACTAATACCACACATCATAAATTTAATGTGTTTGTTTAGAAACCCTTCTAGACATTCCAATATATTCGGAGGTCTATATTTAATTTTTGTTAAAAAATTAAAAAATTAAAAAATACAAAGGTTGAATAAATGAAAAAAGTGATTGAATTTGGGAAAAGATTGAGTTGAAAAATTTAAATTGAATTAAGGTTTAAAGTTAGAAGTCAAAAGAATAAAAATTCCATCTGGTTTATGGCTTTAGAATTAAAGCCGTATAAATAAGGCTAGAGAACACACATGAAAAATACACAAAAAAGACAAAAATAAAAAAACGGAGAAAGAAAAGCAAAAAAAAAATGAGAGTTTTTTTTTGTTAAAAAAATGGATTTTTTTTGAAAATTTTTTTGAAAATTTCAGATTTCGATTAAATTTTTCGATGACTTTTCTAGCGTCGGTTGAATTTTTTAGTCAATTACCTAGTTTTCGGCAACACATCCCTAGAAATCGTCGAATTTTACGGTGAAAAACCTAAATTTCGATCACATTTTTTAGAATCCTATGAAATTCAACCGAAGTTCATTCGATTTATAAAGAAAGGGGAGAGAAAAAAAAGGGAAAAGAGCGATCTGAGACAAAAAGCTTAAACTTTACCTTTTATAGCAGTTTCAAAATAACACCGTTTTGGCGTCTTAATTCAACCTAGGATCTACACGTTTTATCATTGGACGATCCGTTTCAACTTGCTCCATAGTCGATCTTTAGAGCCGAGTCAATTTTCGCAAGTTGAGCCTTTGAGCCGTTTTCTGTGTCTGGAGCCGAGCCACGCTGCGCCAACTCTCCAGTCGAGCTTTTTTTTTGTATTTTCCTTTGTATTTTTTTATGTGTTTGTTTATTTTTAAGAGTATTTTTGCATGAATAAATTTTAAATAAAATAAAATAAAATATTCAAAAAAAATATTTTTAAGGAAAAGTTGAAAATATCAATTTTTCTTGAAAATAAAATTTTTAAAAAATATTTTTTGAGGAAAAGTTAAAAGTATCAATTTTTTTAAAAATAAAAATTTTTAAAAAATGCTTTGAGGAAAAGTTGAAAGTATCAATTTTTCTTGAAAATAAAAATTTTTTAAAAATGCTTTAAGGAAAAGTTAAAAGTATCAATTTTCCTTGCATAAAAGCATTGAATTTTTTCTTATAAAACCTAAAAAAAAAAATCTATATCAAAAGTCAAATTCATTTTGGAAAATTTTAATGTTAAATAATCCGACGATGGAGCATGTACAAGTGAAATAGTAGTTTTCTTGTATACTCTTGAAGTGAAAAAATTTTCTTAATTTTCTACAAAAAATATTGGAGTCAATTAAAGATAATTTTCAATAATTAAATACTCGGTAAAATTTTTAAGGCTTAATGGATAACATGAAATTGAGCTAGTACCATATTTCGATGGTCGTTGTGAGGGTGCTATAACCTTCCTCACTCGTAACTGAACTCTCAAACCCTATTCTGATTAATAGACCCAAACTTATTATTTTAGGGGCCCTTAGTTAAGCTTAGGTGTTCTTTGAAATAGATTATTTAGGTGGCCAATCACACCTAAATAAAAAAGATTGGTGACAACTTCTTAAGTCAATGTCTAGCGATAGGTCTTCGAATCTAAATGTTATGATAATTTGGTGACTCCATTGGAAATAGTCGAGAGTCAGGCCAGCAAATAAATTCATGTTTTCCAAAAAGCCTAATAAAATTAAAGTTTTTGTAAGGATTTTTTTTCTTTCTCTTTCTTTTTCATTCATTTTATTTATTTATGTTGAAAACTATGTCATTCATATGCATAATATGAGCTTTATACCCATGTTTCATCCCTCTAGGAGGAAGTAAAGTATCTATGCTTTCGTGAGGTTCTAATATCTCCGTAGTGGCTAGCGAAATACTCTTACTCAAATTGAATCATTTTTGTTGGTAGCCTATGATGGGTGAGGTTTGGATTGCCTTACTAGTCTGTGATGAACGATGATGTAAGAAATAATTTGAAAACCTTTAGTGGTCAAAACTCTTACTCAAATTGAATCATTTTTGTTGGTAGCCTATGATGGGTGAGGTTTAGATTACCTTACTAGTCTGTGATGGACGATGATGTAAGAAACAATTTAAAAACTTTTAGTGGTCAAAATTATCTAACCCAGCATATAGTGTACACTTAAGAGACCAACCCTAAGATAAAGCCCTTTCTACCCAATGATAGAAATACCGTGAAACTATGACATAAGAAGGAACAAGTTGTGATTATCTAACCATTTTGATTGTCTGACTTTATGCTTCATTTTCATTATCATATGTACATTGTGCATCTGCATCACTTTCATTTCATTCGTGAAACTAATCATATTGTTTATCTGATTTTGTGCATTTGTATCATTTCATTCTATGCATCATTTTCATGATCATGTTTTAACATTATATTTGCATCATTCTCATTTCATCCATAAAAATATACATTCCATTTATGCACAAACATACCATACATAAAGCATATCATTTTTAATCATAATTATGGTATCAAAGTTCAAAGATAGCTCCATCAATCAATAATCTCACACAATCAACTCACTGGTACAATATAAGAACTCGAGTCAGACAGATGAAATAAAAAAATTTTAATCGTCTTAAAAGGATAAAGAAAGCACAAGAAAAGCTAGAAGGAAAGTTGAATAGGATTTTAGAGGCTTTGAACAAATTAAACAAGAAAAAAGGTATAAAAGAAAGCATTAGTGAACAAGACCATCCATTATAAGATGTGAATGATCTACTGTACCCTCTTAATTTTGGGCCACATCAAGCCCAACCTGTACAAGGTCCACCATCCTAGCAGTTCATATATCTTATAAGGTACACATATCTTGTAAGGTACATATATCCTGAAATATCATTAATTTTAAATTCATCACAGTACCAGAGCTATATAAATCTTATCTTTACTGAGAAGACAGTAAAACCAGTATTAGTACCTAATTTGGATGATCCAAAAGAGAAAAAAAAGCTATGGCCAAATAAAAACGAGGCTTTAGAAGGCTCAAAAGCTAAACAAAAAATAAACTTATTAAAGGAAAGGTTACGAGTGATAGCGGGTATTGGTTTTTATGGTTCAGTGGATGTTGCTGGACTTTGTTTAGTCCCAGATGTGATTATTCTTCCAAAATTTAATATTTTAGAGTTTGAAAAATATAATGGTATAAAGTGTCTGAAAACTTACATTACTATGTACCATCAAAAAATGGTCACCTATACTAATAATGAGAAGCTATTAATGGATGTATTTCAAGACAGCCTCACTAGCTCTACTGCTAAGTGGTATGTTCAACTGGATAAGACTCATATCCGTTCTTGAAATGATATAACCTATGACTTCATTAATCAATATCAACATATCATAAATTTAGCTCATGATCGTCTTTTCTTACAGAATATGAAAAAAAAGGTGACTAAGTCATTTAAGAAATATGTCCAGAGGTGAAAGGATATAGCTTCTCAAGTGTAACCCCATTTGATTGAGAAGGAGATCACAGTATTATTCGTCAGCATTTTCAAATCTCTTTATTATGAAAAGATGATAAGAAATGCAATAAAAAATTTTACTGACATAGTGATCTTAGGTGAAATCATTGAGAATGTCATTAAAAATGATAAGTTGAAAGGAAGAAAAACTAAGAAGGCATAAAAAAAAAATTGAAGCTCAAGCCATGAACTTTGACAGATAATTCAGTGGATATCAACCCTATTTACCTTAAGGTTACTCTCCATACTATCCTGCTATAAATAATGCCTCATACCAACCCATACCACAATCATTTTACGCATTCACATACCAGCCTATTTTTGGCCCTCAAGCTCTCACATACAGCTTTAACATTCAATCTCTTGCAAGACTCCAAATTCATCCTGTTAGCCTGGTAAGTGATTCACGAGAGCAATGAATTTTTTGAAAAAAAATTCATATTTGATCCAATCCTCATGACTTATACAAAGTTATACCGAGAGCTCTATAATAGCTATTTGATTACCTCCAATCGTGTGAAGTCGCTCAAGTCACCATATCCAAAGTGGTATGATCCTATAGCTCACTGCGACTACCACTATGGAATTGTTAGCCATTCCATTAAAAATTACACTACTTTAAAGCATAAGGTGCAATGATTGATCAAAAATGGAATGGTAAGTTTTGATCAATGAAAGGCAACAACAACACCTAATGGTAGTGACAATCCATTGACTAAGCACAATGTCAATGCTCTGAGTGAGAATAAAAAACACATTGATTCGAAAAGGCTTAAAAAGTTGTAATGAATTAGGGAGCAAGATATCAATAAAGATCTTCCACCTGATTGCATAGAGATATAATTTTAGAGAATGATGATAAGGCTGATTGAAAGTTTCTTGTCGTTTTAGGATTTTTTTAGAGTAATGTTAAGATTTCTATTAGGCAATAAGATTTCATCTATTATCATTTTAATAAAGGCAAGTTAATGCATTTCATTACATTTTTTCTTTCACTCAATCATTGTTTCATGCTCTGTTACCTTTTATAACTTTTCATTCCTATTCTCAATTTTTAAATAATGAATATTTAGACAATAATAACAATAATTCTGAGATTTAATTTTGAGAAATCATTAACATTGATATGAAGAGACTATTTGAGTAAAGGAAGCCAACTATTAGCAGATGTAAAATTAATATATCTTGAAGATGTGCAGTCTTTTATACAAATTTATGAGCTTGTTTTTGCTCAATAGATGATATTCAAGAAAAGTATTTATATTTGAGATAAAAAATGGTCATTTTTCTTTTACCATTTGAAAAACCATTCATTGTTATCCCTTTGAGCCTACTATGATTTTTTTTTTCTAAAAAAACCCTGATCAAGGATCACCTTTAACATTGGAGGATAATTTTTTAGGAAGAAATGAGCCTAAAGATAAAAAAAAAAAAAGTGTCTAAAAAAAACAAAAAGAAAAAAAAGAGTAAAAAAAATGCCACACTTGATTTTGGACAAAGTAATATGAATCCTTTTATGATGAGTGAAGTGAATGTGAAAAAGGAAAAAATTATGAAATAATGGGATAAAATGTCAAGTTATATCAAGTGATGATCCTTTGGTTTTGAACCCTTTTAATACATATTTTGAGCCTATTATATCCATTTTTTTCATGACCTTTCATCATGGCTTATATTTTAACCTTTAAAAGTCTATTTGGATCAAATGTGAATGCTCGAATTGAATGGTCATATATTAGGCTAAGGCATGCTCATGATGGAATGATAGAATCATGCTTGGTTGCTCTAAAACCTGATGTGAAATATGGGTGAACAAATGAAGGAAGAAAAAAAAAAGAAAAAAAAGTGAAGTGAAAAAAAATTTTTAAAAAGGAGACTCAAATTGAAAATTCGAAAGGGTGATTTAGGTAAAAAAATCTTTGAGCTAAAAGTTTGATAAACAATTCGTATAGATAAGAGATCAAAGATGTATAAATATCTCTTGAAGTTGGGGTAAAGTTCAATAAGTTTAAAGTTAGTGGAATGAGTTTTTGAAAAAAAAATCTTCGATTAATGTTTAAAATTGTTCGAATATTCATTATTTGATCTACAATTCCCTGATGACATCATCAAACTTGTTTATTTCTCTATTTGTTTTGATACCAAACTCGTTTTTCATTGATTGCCTTTTCTTTAATTCATCTTGTGTTTTCATATCCTTAGAATGAATCGAGAAAACATGTGAATGCATTATATTTGTGAATGACAATGTGTATAAAAGAATCTTGCATTCTTTTGAAAAAAAAATCTAAGACGATAAGAGAAAAATAAAGAGATGGTGGGAACATAAAAAAAGATGATTTGAGAAAAGTAGTATGACCAAGTAATGAATATAGGGATGAATTAATTAACACAGCCTGTCAATGATGACTGAATAATAAAAATAATATGGATCAATAGATGAAGTTTGTTTTAGAATGGTTAGGGTTGAGAAACCTATGAATAGTGATAAAGTGATGAACATAATGTAGATCGGAGGATAAAATTTATTCTAAAATGGCTAGTGTTGAGAAGCTTGTCAATTGTGATGAAAATATTGTGGGTCAATGAATGAAATTTATGCTGAAATTGATAGTATTGAAGAGCCTATGAGTGGTGATTAAATGATATAGGGTAATGGACGAAACTTGTGCTGAAATTGTTAGTATTAAGAAGCCTATGGATGGTGATCAAGTGATGAAAATAATGATGATCAGTTGATGAAACTTGTTCCAAAGTGTTGAGAAGCTAAACAAGAAAAAAATGTAAGATGATGAAGTTTTGAAAACCATATTATCACACTTTGATTAGAATTTCATGACTTTGATATCCGCATTACATGCATTACATTAGCATTATTTTTTAAAAAAAATGTTTAAAACTTTGGTTTGGATATGCATTTGCATCATGGCATTGTGAGAATCTGGATTGTTGCATTTGCATCATTAAAAAAATATTTGCATATTTGATCATGACATTCCTTGTATGCATAATTTTAAATCACTTGAAAAAAAAATTGAGAATCTTTTGATGAGGATTGTTGAATTTCAAATAAGAATCTTTGAATTTCAAATAAGAATATTTGGATTTCAAATGAAAATCTTTGAGTTTTAAATGAGGATATCCAAGACGTTCTCAAATGCGAATCTTTGAATTTCAAATGAGAATCTTTGAATTTCAAACGAGAATCTTTAAGATGTGAAACCCTCAGAACTTGAATGAGAAGCTTTGAACTTTTAGATGTGAATCTCTAAAGTTCAAATGAGAATATTTAATGTTGGATACGAGTCTTGCAAGTTGCAAATACGAATTTTGAAACCTTGTAGATCTGAATTCTTGCTCATCTAAAATTTTATGAATCGAATTTTGGTGAAACTGAAATTTTGAGAATTAAATTTAAGTGAATTCTTATGAAGCTGAAAGGTTCTTGTGAATCTAAACCTTTGACTTTCAAACTTAAATTGCAAATATTTGAGTTTTTTATTACAAATTTCATCAGATTTAATCTATGACTTTGCTAGAGATGATCGTTAAGAAGCTTTTTATTTTTCAAAGTTATGGTTGCTACTATTTAGAAGAGCAATTTATTTTTCAAAGTTGTGTTGCCTCTGTTTAGATGAGCAATTTACTTTTTCAAATTATTTTTTTAAAGTTGTGTTGCCTCTGTTTAGAAGAGCAATTTATTTTTTAAAGTTGTGGTGCCTATGTTTAGAGGAAAAATTTATTTTTCAAAGTTGCGGTTGCCTCTGTTTAGAGGAACAATTTATTTTCAAAAGTCATGGTTGCCTCTGTTTAGAGAAACATTTTATTTTTAAAAGTCGTGGTACGTCTATTTAGAAGAGCAATTTATTTTTCAAAATCGTAATGACTCTGTTTAGAGAAGCAATTTATTTTCAAAAGTCATTGAGCCTCTGTTTAGAGGGGCTTAATTTACCTTTTTTTAAAAAAATAAAATAAAATAAAATAATACCTCAAGTTGATTGGGTTGTCTACATCTTTGCATAATTTTTGTTTCACATAAAATGGGCAAAAAGAGGTAACTGTAGACACCCTAATCTATCCAGAGGTCTATATTTGATTTTTGTTAAAAAATTAAAAAATGCAAAAGCTAAAAAAAATGAAAAAATGGTTGAATTTGGGAATGACTGAGTTGAGAAATTTAAACTGAATTAGGGTTTAAAGTTAGAAGTCAGAAAAGATGAAAATCCCATTTGGTTTAGGGCTCTCGGATTGAAACCTTATAAATAAGGCCAGAGAACACACACAAAAAATACACAGAAAAGACAGAAATTAGAAAATAGAAAGAGAAAAGCAGAAAGCAAAAAAAAAATTGAAACTTTTTTTGTTAAAAAAAGAGATTTTTTTAAAATTTCAGATTTCGGTTGAATTTTTTAGTCAGTTACCCAATTTTCGGCATCACATCCCCAGAAATCATTGAACTTTTCGGTGAACTTCTAACGAAAAACTCAGATTCTGATCACATTTTTCAGAATCCGATGAAATTCAACCTGGAGCTCATTCGATTTCTAGAGAAATGGGAGAGAAAAGAAAGGGAAAAGAGATAAAGGAAAAGGGCGATATAAGGCAGAAAGCTTAAACTTTGCCTTTTATATCTGTTTCAAAATGACATCGTTTTGGCATCTTAATTCAACCTAAGATCCACGCGTTTTACCGCTGGACTACTCGACTCGTAGCGCGACCCATTTCAACTTGCTCCACAGTCGATCCTTGGAGCCGACCGACGCCAACTCTCCAGCGAGCCTTTTTTTGTATTTTCCTTTGTATTTTTTTTATTTTTTATTTGTTTGTTTATTTTTAAGAGCATTTTTGCATAAATAAATTTAAAATAAAATAAAATATTCAAAAAAAATATTTTTGAGAAAAGTTGAAAGTATCAATTTTTCTTGAAAATAATATTTTTAAAAAATATTTTTGAGAAAAAGTTGAAAGTATCAATTTTTCTTGAAAATAAAATTTTAAAAAATATTTTAAAGGAAAAGTTGAAAGTATTAATTTTTTTTTAAAAAAATTTCTAAAAATTATTTTTTTGATGAAAAGTTGAAAGTATCAATTTTTCTTGAAAATCAAATTTTTAAAAAATATTTTGAAAAAAAAGTTGAAAGTATCAATTTTTCTTGAAAATCAAATTTTTTAAAAAATGCTTTAAGAAAAAGTTGAAAATATCAATTTTCTTATATAAAAGCATGAGTTTTTTTCTTATAAAACCTAAAAATAAAATTTATATCAAAAGTCAAATTCATTTTGAAAAATTTTAATGTTAAATAATCCGATGACAGAACCTCTGCAAGTAAAATAATAGTTTTCTTGTATACTCTTGAAAGAATTTTTTTAATTTTCTGTCAAAAGTATTGGAGTCAATTAAGGATAATTTTCATTAATTAAATACTCGGTAAAATTTTTAAAGCTTAATGGATAACATGAAATTCAGCTGGTACCATCTTTCAATGAGCGTTATGAGGATGCTATAACATTTTTCACTCGTAATCGAACTCTCAAATCATGTTCTGGTTAATAGACCCGAATCTATTCTTTTAGGAGACATCAGTTAAGCTTAGGTGTTCCTTAAAATGATAGATTTTCAATCACACTTAAATAAAAAAATCGGTGACAATTCCTTAAATAAATGTCTAACAATAGGTCTTTTGATCTAAATGTTATAACAACCCTAAATCATATGATTTGCAGCCTTGGTACGACCTTCATTTAACTAAAATTGGAGTTTTGTCTGTTTGATTTCATCACTAATATTATGATTCCGCTTCACCCAATTGTGGTAATGGTGGGGTCTGTTAAAAGCTCCAAAAGACTGTTCCCATCGCTCTCACTAATTCTCATTTCTCACAAATTACCTTTCAAAAGCCTACCATTCTCATCTAACTTTAATTTTATTCTCTTATTTTCAACTATAAAATATCAACCAAACCGACAGCTTCAATGTAGAGTTCACAACTTTGTAATTTTGGAGACCAAAGAAACATTAAGGATGGTGAAAGAACGGGAAGATAGAGACCTTGTTTTTCCTTAAAATTCAAAGCTACTCCACCAAATCAGTGTCTCGACGCTGGGATATGCCCTCCCATCATGACATTTGCCTGTGGGATGCTGCCTATCGACCATCAGTTTGATGCAAAGGTCTCAGGCAACTAAAGGGAATCAAGAGGGAGTGAGAAAAATAAAAAGGAAAGATGCTGATAAAGAAAGCTTGGGATGGAAGCCCTTTGAATGAAACTTTCTGCTATTGCTTGTATTAGAATCAAAGTGAGGGATACTCGTGATGTTGCAGAGACCCTCCAGAGAGAGAAAGAGAGTTAACGTTCACGTCAAACTATCTAAGATAAATTTTCAAACTCCATTTTATTGCTAGGAAACTGGACTTCTCAACTCACCCAACTTTGAAAGAACCCTCCCAACTAGAAAAAGAAACAAAAATACTCCTGTTCCTACGTCATATCTGTAAAAAAGTAATTTGCAAAACACAATGTACAGAAATTCTATCTTTATTCTGGCTCAAAGAGAGTTGAATGCACCTTGATCGAATTCAGAGTACCAACATGGCCAAGAGATCAGATTTTGCACAGAAACTGTTAGATGACCTTAGGTTGCGGAAGGAGAGGATGGCTGCCTCTCAGAACTCAAAGGGCACGAATCCAATGGTCGCAGGTGAGTATTTCCCGAATTCTCTGCAATAAACATACACGGTGGAGCATGCATCAAAGAATTCCAACATCCTTTCAAGAAACTATAAGTTAAAACCCTGTAATAAGATTTTTTTTTCTTTTGGATCATGCTTGATGGTTCTTGTTCAATGACTTGAAGACATTAGAAAAGCAGGAGGCATCACGGACTAATGCACGTTTCGAATCTAATTAGAGCAAATGGAAATCACGCATACAAATACACAAATCATGTACATGCATTCAATTGTTGAAACGTGTAATTTTAGCACTAACGACTAATCTTTTCTTTTCTTTCCTTCTTGAGATACATTCTTCCCCTCTTTCTATCCAAGTTTGAAAAAGCAATTGTTAATTCTATTATCTTGCCTGCCGAAACCAGCCACGTGATTAAGCAATAATTCTTCGCTCTTGGGCGTTGATCAAAGAAGCTAAGAGAGTTTGCAATCTTTTGAACTTTTCTTTTAAAGGCAATCTAGTTTTGTCTATCACTGCACGTAAGTAAAACTTAAAAGATGAAAGAACTGTTTACTTCATGTAAGAACAGAAAGGAAAGGATTTGTGGATGAGTTTTTTCAATTAAATTAAACGGGGCAGGGGAGGTAAGCATAGAAAGCTGATACCTGAAGGAAAAACAGAAAATTTCTTTTAAATATGCTTACACAGAAGGACTTCCATCAGTTTCGTGGTGTTAAGTGATTGAACCATGTGTGAGGCTAGACTCATGACAATAAGTTTTAGCTAGCTAGCAAAACCCGTCAACAAGTAACAAAGATGCATAATTTACTCTGTTCCTTTTGTTGCGTGTTTGAGCAGATGCGTATGCTTACTCCAAGGCAGCCTATAAATCATCTAGGGAACCAAAGACGCTCAAAACTGTAAGTTTCCAGAGCTAAAGTATAAGTAATCAGTTCATACAACATATTAATTAGATATCACGATTTCCTCTAGTTAAAATGTTTGGCTTCCTGCAGATTGGTTTTAGAGCTGGAAGCACACAAACCAGACCTAGTGGAGGCAGGAAATCAGTCGCCACTGGGCAGGTATCGAATCAGATTGTTCCTTTTGAGAGAGACCTGAAGTCAGAACAAATAGGAGATCTATCAATGGCCCTGGCTTTTGCACTTGAAAATGGAGGAAAGCTAAGAAGAACAGATTCTTCTGGCAATAGTTCAATTTTCAGTTTTCTGCATAACATGGGTAGGAGACGGATGGACTATGGGAAGATAGAGAGAAAAAACAGTGTAGTAAGTAGGCATCAACCTTCAAGTAGCCGACTCCCTACTCTCTCACATCTCCATATCGAAGAAATATCAAGGGGTGCACAAAAGTTAAATCAGATCCTCCGAGCCTGCTCTAATGGCCTCAACTTCGACAGATACTCAATAGAAATTGGACGGGAACTATTGAAAGGAGCAATAGATTTGGAAGAGTCTCTAAGGATGCTTGTAAACCTGCAGGAAGCTTCAGAGTATTTGGTAACGCCACAGAGAAAAAGTCAGATAACATTGCTAGAGGAGGATGAAGATGATGATGATAACACTGTCAAAATAGCTGATCAGAAGCAATTGGATAGGCCAAGATTTTCTTTTGACAGACCCGAAAGAAATTATAATGACATTCAAGAAGTTGCAAGGACTGATCTCAGGCTGAGGCTGGCAGCTCTTACCTACTCTTCAGAAGTTACTAATTCCAACCATGAGAAGAAAGTTCTAGCTGCCTCGAATTCACATTCTCACAGGCGATCAGTTAGCTATGGTCCAGACATAAAAAATCTCACCACATTCTCCGAACAAAATTACTCAAGTTCAGTGCAGTCCAAACAACAAAAGTCAAGAATTCCAAACGTAATTGCAAAACTGATGGGGCTCGATGAGCTTCCGGGAAATGTAGATTCAAAGGTGACCACAAAGAAGTCTGGAACACAAAGAGTAGAAGGGATGATTACCCAGAAACCCGCACAGGAAAGTATCAAGAAGGCTGAACAAAGGACCAAAGATTCTGCAACCCTGGTTCTCCCACCAGGAAAACAGAAGGCAACACTAGCCAGCAAAACTCCATTGATTCAGGAGACAGTTACATCACAAGCAGGAAAACCTTTGACAATTAGAAATGGTAGCACAAGGATTGCTGTTAATGACAAATTAATACCTCGAAAGGACTTGGAAGACATAAAACCTGTGACAAGCTCTAGAAAGCCCAACATCAAGATAGACAAACAACAAAGTGACATCACCCAATTGAATCATAACTCCGGAAGCAGAAAAGAAATTCAGGAAAAGGGGAGAAAACAAGATAGTATAAAGCACAGGGAACAGAAGGGCGCTGAAAGAAGTGAAATCAAGGGATCAGTTTTCAAGGATGAGATGCAGCAGATGATACCCTATATGCATAAAAGATCAGAAGCCGCACTTACATTGCAAGAAAATCCAGAGTACAGTGAAAGCATGCTTCATGGCGAAAACAGATATGCAAACAAGCTTCTCCTAGGCAATCAACAAAGGCTGCAAAATAATCATGGTTTTCAACAGGTGCATATGCTTCAAAAATCTGAGCTTCAAGAGAAAAGGCGACAATCAGAAGAGAAGGAACAACAAAGTACCAAACAGAAATTGCAGGGGAAGAAACAACAGGGAAATGAACCAATATCCAGTAATTTCTCCAAACCAATGTCTGGTGCAACCAATTTGCAAAAGAAGCAGCCACAAATGAACCAAGCAGAAACTAGTAGGAAAAGCTCCACCGAACATATTGATGCAACACAGTCCAATGGATTCCCAGATGGTAGGCACCACAAAACTTTGGCCATGGATAGTAGTTCAACAAACTTAAATTTCAAAATTAAAGATTCATTAAAAAGAAACTCTGGTCAGCATTACTTTCAAGGAGATCTAGAATCTCAATCAGCAAAAGCTCGCATCCTGTTTGCTGTGGATGAGAAACCTGTTCAAGTTCAAACAACAATGAAGGCAAGAAGTGCTAAAGGCCATAAACATGAGGTCCCTCGAAAGATCGACGAAGTGGTGACTAACAAAGGTGCAGGTGTTTATAACTTGCCGAGGACACTGAAAAATCAGAGTTCCATTTTGCAAGAGAGGAAACAAACAAGGCAGGAGAAACTTGCTATCTCAAGTGAAGCAGATAAAATGAAAGCCAACAGGTTCGAAGAAAGAGAAGCACAGATCATTAGATCCAACAAGTCAGTAGCAGGCCTACAATCATCAAGTGTAGCACAAGAGCTGCAGAAAGCAGCACATCAAAATTCAATTTTGTGCAGTCCTCTAGAAGATGAATACCAAAGTCTAAAGGAACCAAAAGCTTTAGTTCCAAAAGATAAAGTAAAATCACCATTACTAAAACCATTAACCAATTATATTAGACAAATGAAGTCACTTTCATACTTCTGAGTGGAGCTTAAATAATCCTTTTGATCTTATGCAGTGTCAAACTACAGTGCCAATGATTACAAAAGAACAGCAAGATCAAGAAGCTGATTTTGGAAGAGCCGAAGAAAGCGAGTTTAAGAACAGTGTCTCTGACCCACTACATGGTAAGTACAATTTTGCATTCCTAATTTACTTCTCTTACATTTTCAAAAGTTAACATTTACTCCTTAGGCCGCTACTACTCATGAAATGCCTTTTCATTTAATTTTTGGTGGGGTGGGTGGTTTGGGAAGAGGAAGAAAGAAGAAGAAGAAACTTATCTGCTAAAGTTCATTGTTTTTAGGAACTCATGGAGAGAGTACAGAAATCTCCTACTGTCTACAGTCACAGAACCCAAGAACTTATACATCAGAGATGTCAGAGCCACTGACAGAGAGTGAAAACCACCTCAAGCAGATAGTGATGAAATGCCAACTATTTATGAGCACGGCAGAGGCGCTTTTCAAACTCAACATTCCTATCAGCATTCTTCATGCAAACGGTCACGACTATCGCGATCAAGAAAGCAAGATCGTTTTAGACTGTGGCTACGAAGTAATGAAAAGGAAAGGAAGGAGGCAGGAACTAAGTGTTCACCCATTTCTGAAAGCACCCATCTCTTCAAAAAAAGCAAAATCCATGGATGAGCTGGTCAAGCAAATGTGTAAAGACTTTGACAAGTTGAAGTTATACGGACGGAACGGGAGAGAAGATTCTCTCTTCCAAGACTACCTACCCAAAATGCTTGAAGCCGATGTCAACAACAAGGAACCAGATTTGAATTGTATGTGGGACTTGGGTTGGAACAGCATGATGTTTGGGTTTCTTGAGAAAGATGATGTTATAAAGGATGTGGAGAAGTATGTGCTTAACGGACTCCTAGATGAGCTTACCAGAGATCTTTTCACAGGCAGAAGTGTTTCAGGCAGAAGTGCTTAATGGACTCCTTGATCTATTTTTTCTAGTGGCCCATTACGTTGCTGATGTTTGTAAATTTCATCAATCGTAATTGAAATGTACTGCTGGAGTGTTGCATCTAGGTTTTGAGTAAAACAGTGAAGAACAAATGACATCAAGTGATGATATGCCTTAGAAAATTGAGAAATTATTCCTACATTCGTGTTTGGTAACACTTCTACCCCCCCTCCCCAACCTGGCTGCCAAGGTGCAAGTTAGAGTTGACTTTCTTGCTTTATTTCATTTTGATGTTACTATCTGGAGTATGACGTACATGGGATAAAACAGAACAAGCGGTAAAAACCTCATAATATATTCTTTGCAACATTAAAATTTTCTGCAGATGAAGTAATGAGTAGTTTCTGCCCCAGAACTACCAAAAAATGGATAAACCAGAACAAGTGGTAGAAGATCCATACCAGCAAGTCTTTCTGACCTTGGCATAATATATATAATGTCCGAGTTGTTTTTCTTTATTGAAATAATGCAGACTCTAACTTTTAACTGGAATACTAAGCTAATGTGTGGCTCGGCAGTTTTCTATAGACTATTCTCACATTGGACAAATTGTTTTGTCATTCTACTGAAATCTGAGGGATGAAAACCGTCCCATTACTGTCGCACGGCTCAAGGCTAAGCTGTTAATTATATTCAAAAATATATTTTAGATATGTTCTATGGATATTGAGGGTGATATAGTGTATTTAATTAAATTCTCTTTTTTCTACTGTCATTCTCACAGATTCCTGTACACCGAGGAATAGTAAACAGATTGATGAAGTCAAGCCATGTTCCTTGCTAGAATTTGTCAAGCAATGGTATGCATCATGCTGACTTTAGTCGATTTACTGTTGGCTTGAACGTATAAATGGACATGAATTTTTTTTCATGAGTTACCGAACCATTGATTAGAATGGCTCCTCAACCAGAAGGTGCATGGCCAATTCTTGGCCACCTCCACCTATTGGGTGGCAGTAATCAGTTTCTTTACCGAACACTTGGAGCAGTGGCTGATAAGCGTGGGCCTGCGTTTACAATAAGCCTAGGCAGTCGCCATGCTTTTGTGGTTAGTAGCTGGGAAGTGGTAAAACAATGCTTCACAATTAATGATAAGGCACTAGCTTCGCGTCCTACTACAGTAGCTACAAAGCACATGGGTTACAATTATGCTGTGTTTGGGTTTGCGCCTTACTGCCCCTTCTGGCGTGAGATGGGAAAAATTGCAACACTTGAACTTCTCTCAAACCGCAGGCTTGAGATGCTCAAGCATGTTCGCATTTCTGAAGTTGACATGGGGATAAGAGAACTAGACAGTTTAAGTTATAACAATGGTTCCAGTCCTGAGCTTCTTGAACTTAAACAGTGGTTTAATATAGTTGTTCGAATGGTGACTGGAAAATGTTGTTTTAAAATGTTATTTTGGTGCTTCTGCTGCCTGTGATGATAGCGAGGCAAGAAGGTGTCAAAAGGCAATAAGTCAGTTCTTTCATTTAATTGGTCTTTTTGTTGTTTCAGATGCACTTCCACTCCTTTGGTGGTTAGATATGCAGGGGCATGAAAAGGCAATGAAAAAGACGGCCAAGGAGTTGGATGGTGTACTTGAGGGCTGGCTAAAGGAGCATCGTGATAGAAGGATTTCTGGTGGAATCAAGGCTGAAGGGGAGCAGGACTTCATTGATGTAATGTTGTCTCTTCAGGAGGAAGGTCACCTCTCAAATTTTCAGTATGATGCAGATACGAGTATCAAGTCTCTCTGTCTGGTATGTTTAATTTGAAGAAACATGATAAATTTGAGCTCAGAGTTTGATTTATGATAACACTTGTTTGGCCAAAAACAGGACAATCGATGAGTGATGTAGTTTATCCAAGAAGGTCTGATTATACCCTGTATTCTTAGAATGGTTCATTATTTTGGGCTTGCTAGTTCTTGACTGGTGTGGCATGCTCAAGTATTTAATTTTGTGATTATTGAGAATCACATACAGTTTATACGACTCTTTGTAGCTGATAAGCTAACTTTTGTTAGGCAAACTTACTTCTACATTAACGTTCTTTTCAATTTTCATGTAGGCACATATCCTTGGTGACAGTGATACGACATCTGGGACACAGACATGGGCCTTTTCTTTACTTCTGAATAATCGTGAGATGTTGGAGAAGGCTCAAGAGGAATTAGACCTCCAGGTTCGCCGGGAAAGGCCAGTTGATGAGTCAGATATTAAAAATCTTGTGTATCTTCAAGCCATCATCAAAGAAACCTTGCGCCTTTATCCAGCTGATCCTCTACGGGGACCCTGGGAAGCTATGAACGACTGCACTGTTGCTGGCTATCATGTCCCAGCTGTCGCGTAGTCGTAAATGTGGGGAAAATTCAAAGAGATCCAAGAGTATGGTCAAATCCATCTGCATTTTTACCAGGGAGATTTCTCACAAGCCATGCCGGTGTTGATGTTAGAGGTCAACAATTTGAACTCTGTCCATTTGGCTCAGGAAGACGTTCATGCCCTGGTGCATCATTTGCTCTCCAACAACTTCATCTGACACTTGTTCGTTTTCTTCATGCATTTGAACTGAAAACTCCTATGGATCAACCTGTTGACATGACCGAGAGCCCAGGTTTAACCATCCAAAGGCCACCCCATTGGACGTTCTACTTCAGCCGCGTCTCCCAGCTAATGTCTATGCCTCATAACCAAGGGTACGGAGGAGACATGGTGATGCAACTCAAGTAAAATAAGACCAACTATAATGGAATCTTTTAGTTGATATCATGATATGTTCTGTTATGTCTAATACTGTGGTTCAGTTCTGATGAAATCCAAAATAATGTTAAACTCGAAATTTTACTATAATTTAGTAACTTGTAGTATTAAAATATCCTATCAGTTTCTTGCCAGCCAATCACTCCTTCCTTTCCATGTTTCGCCTTTTCAAGCCAATAAGAAAGGAAGATGTTGAATTTCATCATTCTGACGAATAGCATTATTTCCCCCTTAAATAAATATAAAATGATGATCAAATTGACAAAAAAAAAAAGCCTACTTTGGAAATAATTTAATTAACTGGCACTCAATCAAAGCTCTTAAATGAATATTGGAATATGACGACCATCGAAGATAGAATGGAATCGAACCATCTGAAACATAGTTTAGCACAGTGCCTGTGTTCAACCGCTGACGTCTTTTTATTTTTTTTCCAAGTAAATGATCTTTGTTGACTAATCAAATGATAAACACTCCCCAAACGCTATCATCCAGTAATCAAAGCCACAATGGATATTGATTTCTTCCTTCGTTACCTAAACAGTAACATTGCAGGAGTCTTTGCCATACTCCTTTCATGTTTCCTGCTAATTAGGTGATCTAGAACATCTTTGAAGGGCCAAAAACCACCAGAAGCTGCCGGTAGATGGCCTTTAATTGGTCATCTCCATCTATTAGCAGGATCCCAGCTTCCACACTTAGCACTGGGAACCTTAGCTGACAAGCATGGACCAATATTCACCATCCGAATTGGCTTGCACCCGGCTGTGGTGGTCAGTAGTTCGGAGTTGGCCAAAGAAATATTTACGACCTATGATGTAGCTGTGTCCTCACGGCCCAAACTTACAGTAGGAAATTACCTCGGCCATAACTATGCCAACTTTGGTTTCAGTCCTTATGGTGCATACTAGCGTGAAATGCACAAAATAACAGCCTCGGAGCTTTTGTCAAACCGCAGGCTTGAGCTTTTGAAACATGTTAGAGCCTCTGAAGTAGAAAGCTCAATAAAAGAGCTGTACAAGCTTTGGACCGAGAAAAAAGATGAGTCGAGCCATGTTTTGGTTGAGATGAAGAAATGGTTTGGGGACTTAAATCTGAACGTGATTCTTAGGATGATTGCAGGGAAGAGGTTTTTTGGTGCTGTTGTGGCTACCAATGAGAAAGAGGCAAGGCGATGCAGGAAAGCAATGAGGGAATTTTTCCATTTGGCAGGATTGCTTGTGTTAAGGGATACAATTCCTTTTCTTGGGTGGCTGGATTTGGGTGGACATGAAAAAGCCATGAAGAAAACTGGAAAGGAATTGGATAGTATCCTGGAAGAATGGTTAGAGGAACATCGTAGGAAGAAAGAATCTGTTGGCGAGGTAGCTAAGGGAGAGCAAGACTTTATTGATGTGCTGCTCTCTGTTCTTGAGGGTATTGACCTTTCAGGATAGGATGTTAACACTGTCACTAAAGCAACAGCCCTGGTAAGAATTCTTCTACCACCATCACTTAGGCCTTCTGACAATCTTAATTCCTATTAAACACGGAGCCAAAACATCGATTTTGTTAGGCTCAACCTTCTTTAAAAGAAAATTTTTAGAATGAAATTGCTTCATGTGATTTAAGTTGATATTATCAATGGCAATAACACAATTGTGTTTTTCTGTAGATTTTGCTTGTAAGGGGCACTGATACCACAACAGTCACAATAACTTGGACACTTGCGCTATTGCTCAACAACCGTCATGCTTTGGAAAAGGCTCAGGAAGAATTGGACATCCAGATTGGCAAAGGAAGACAAGTAAATGAATCAGACATTGATAAGCTAGTCTACCTCCAAGCAATTGTAAAAGAATCACTACGTTTATATCCAGCTGGACCACTCTCAGGAGCACGCGAATTCTCTGAAGATTGCACAATAGGTGGCTACCTTGTGCCCAAAGGCAACCGGCTGATACTCAACCTTCGGAAAATTCAAACAGATCCACAATTATGGTCCGATCCCTTAGAGTTCAAGCCTGAGAGATTTATCACCAGTCACCTGGATACTGATGTTAAGGGTCAGCATTTTGAGCTCATATCATTTGGTGCTGGTAGAAGATTGTGTCCAGGGATAAACTTTGGCTTGCAAATGACACATCTGGTTCTGGCCAGCTTGCTCCCTGCGTTCGACATCTTGACTCCATCAAATGAACCTGTTGACATGACTGGGAGTCCAGGACTAACAAACATTAAAGCAACCCCACTTGAAATTCTTGCCAAACCGCGCTTGTCTCCTAGTGTCTATCAATAATCATCTTGAAGTGTAATCCACAGCTATTGCTTTTTTTACTTTAGCTAAAGTTGAGTCTGATATTTTTCTTTGTGATATCAATATGTATGGTTCCTGGCTGAACCCAGTGTTTAGGATAAGAGGTGACAAAAGTTTGAGATTCAAATTTTATTGTCTGTAATTCTTCTTTATTCTTAAACCTGACCCATACTATACTAGTATTTGTTTCTGTGCTCTAATCACATCTACAATTTCTAGACAATTTCTCGTTA